TGACAAGTCTATTAGTCCTTCAAATGGTCAGATAACTCGTCATTTAGCCCACCGGTAAGGCTGTTCAGTTATCAGTTGGTCAGTCAATTATTCCGTTCATCAATCAGTCAGTCGGCCAATAATTGAGTCGATCATCGAGCCCGTCAGTCGGCCAACTGGGGAGTCAGTTAGTTAGTTATTGAAACAGCCAGTTATTCATTCATCAGTTTACTCTGCCACTGACCTGTCGTCCATCCATCCTGCCAGATAGTCACTTGGTCATCATCGATCGGTTTCTTAGTCAATAAGTCAATCACTAGGTCATATCTAGCTCTCTAGCAGGTTAAACAGCAACTTTCCTTTTGACTGTAGTCCCCCTCCCTTCCCTCCGAAAAAAAAGAAAAAAAAAATTCAAGTGGTTGTCTGCAGGTCGTCAAATTTAGAACATATGATTTTTACATATGATAAACTTGGAGAAGCTGTATGCAACCAGGTGCAGATGGGTAAAAGTAAAGGAAGATAACGAACGTAGAATCTTTGCGTTGGAAAAAAATTTAACGATAAATACACAATGAATTACGCTGATCTTAGAAAGATGCAAATCTAAACATGGAATTTTATATTGTAATCATATTGCTGTAAAACAGGATAGAATGACCACATCTCAGATGTAAACGTTTTTGATTAGTACAAATTTATACAGAAAAGAGTGAAAATTACAAGGCTCCATTATCTCTCTTCTCAAAACAATTTGGGAATAATTGCTGAATAAGTTAGACTGATCCCAAGATAACTTTATTCGACCAGTGAGCCTAAACATGGAATACATTTTTCTTTCATAGAGTGTTTCAGATAACAAGCCTCGAGTGTACGAAAGACAGCGTAACCAGTAGAAAATACTAAAAAAATGCTTTTCCATAAGCACGCTCTTGATGGAGTTCGCTTGTCCCGAGAGCGAAGAAATGCTCGCACCATCATAGCTTGTAATAGAGAGCTTGCTTGCAGCTTATAACACCAGCGAGAGCCTACGCGCAAGTAATTGGCTCTAAAAAGGAGCATGTGCACGGCGGGGTAACTCGAACTAATTGCCTCGTCTGAGTATCATTGTTCCATTCACCAAATCAACAAAATCATATAAAAAGGACTTGAAAATAAAGCTGGACTTTGATTCAAAATAAGTATTCAAACTGGAAGGTTAACAGTGATAAGAAATGTCCTATTGTGGGACGTACGAGGACTGACGGGATATACATCAAAGTATAGATCGCTGATTATTTCCAACAACTCGATGTTTAATTCTTTTGTAGTGCGCTCTGGGGGGTTTGGTTTGAATACAGAGGATGCCAAACAAACTGTGCACGTAAACACAAAATGTGAAAAACTTCCAAAACTTTGCATGATTTAATTTGCCGTATTCGCAGTGAAGAAGGAGAGGAAGAAGATCTCAAGGAATTCATTTTCATCGTTGGTCAAGTAAATAAGACGTTTAAGTTTAAGCTGATAAGAAATGTATTCATCATTTATTGATGATTTCTGGTTTTAACAGAAAAATTGGATGGAGATATCGTGATGACTAGGATAGAGAGCTGTAATTAGGTAGAACCGTCATCTTTAAAAACTAAAACGATTTTGGAAGTCTTCAAGGCTTTGGTGGACACAAAGGCACCCAACAGAGACGAATTCTTTTACTCTTTCTTGACTATTCCAATTAAAATAACCCAGCAATGAGATTTGTAAGACAAACAGTCGATGTTCAGGGAGTTGAGGATGGAACCAGTTCAAGAAGGAGCAATGTCGACATCAAGGATTCAAAAACAGAGCCTCGAAATGTTGAGGCATGGAAATCGTTCTCAGAAGACACAGCTGTTCACGGTGCCAGATTTTTTTCGCGGATAACGTTTTCAGAGGACTTATTTGGATTGCTGCAGTTTTAGGATGTGCAATTTTCTGCAATTACCAGGTTTACACTTTTGCAAGACACTTTTATGAGAGACCTTTTAACACAAAAATAACGTTCGACATTGGTAGAAATGGAAACGAGCTCCCTTTTCCTGCTGTGACTCTGTGTAATCTCAATGCACTCAACAGAAGAAAACTCAAAAAACTACTCACGAGTGTTTACGGCCCAACGACTGCCGATAAAAAGATCCAGGACTTGTTTCTTATTATAAGAAGATCGAAAGTGGCGTTTACCAAAGACTTTATGGAGCATAATCCAAAGTTTTTCCATCGTTCTCAAACTGTCAACTAAACAAAAACCAACTTTTGGATAGCGGGTGATGATATGGAGGATATGCTTTTACCAACCAGCCCAGAATTCAGTTCTTGTTCAATCAATGGCATGCAATGCAACGCACATAACTTCACCAGCTCACTGAGTGCCTTTCATGGTTTGAAATGTCATACCTTCAACTCTGCAGAGGGCGGTAAGCCATTGTTGAATACTACCGTAGCTGGTCTTCCGAGCGGGTTGAGGCTTCGACTTAACATCGAACGAGACAAATATATTCCAATTCCATGGAGGCCAGCTGTTGGAATTTTGCTTCTTATACATGAGCAGAAGACGTTTTTACCTGAGGAAGAGTTTGGTACTGTTATTCAACCCGGGATGTCTACCCTATGCGCTATAAAAAGAAGAAAGGTAAAGAGGACAGTCAGGTGGCGAATAAGCCAGGAAGCCAGCTAGTCACTAGGTCAGACAGTCAATTAGCTAAACAGTCCCTTGGCAAGTCAGTACTTCATTTTGCCTAACGGCTGCATGGCCAGTTAGCCTACTAGCTTGATAGTCTGGGCGTCAGTCAATAAATCACCCAGTGCTCACTCCATCCAGCCAGACAGCCAGTCGGTCATGGTCATCATCATCATCATCATCATCATCTTTATTTGCCTTATTTTAACAATTAAAAGACAGTTAATTACAAACGATAACAGTTAGAAGGCGAGGAGACCCAAGAAGCCACCAGGCTTATGGGAGAGCCACCTCACTCACAATAATAAATTAAGTAAAGAAAAAGTGCTGCGCATGTGCGGCTTGGCCAATTCAGTGGCCATCCCCGCACTCTGTCAATAAGTCAATCATCAAGTTCCCCTGAGCCTCCCAACAGTTTAGAATCAAAGCAACCTCCCATGCAGGCTCCCGGACCTTCGTCTTCGATGTATGCAAGCTGTCAAATGTAAGAATAAATCGTGATTTTTACAGATATTTAACTTGGAGAAGCCGTATGCAACCAACTGCAGAAAAGGATTTCTCAGGTTTGACAGGGACTTTGCCTACAAAAAACGACCCTGTATGGTAAATTGTCGCAACAAGTATATTATCAAAACATGCGGTTGCACAGTAACAAAATTTCAAGGTCAGTCCCACCATATCTTTGCAGATAACATGGAAATTTTTACTTCAAACTGTACGAATAACTAGGATTTCAATAATTAGCAAATAGATTATTATTATTAGATAAACCACAAGTGGTGCTGTTCGATGTCATACTGACGTTCGCTCTTATGTGCAAGCTGTGTGTCTGAACTCAGCTATTAATTGCACTCTTGGCAAAAGAGAATTATTTGAACTTGCATAGTTTACTTTTGTGTTTACTATAGTTCTTTTCTTACCTACATGTTTGTTCATTGAAATGTTTATCAAGATCGTAATGTCTGTAGCTTGATGTTGTGAACATTGGTCCGTGAACATTCGCAATAGCTAAGAATCTTCCGCAGAATTGCCGTGAACGCCTCTCGAAAGTTCCGCATTCGCGACCCATAGATCACGAAATTCATTGCGGAGTTTGAGAGAGCCAAAGTGCTAATCCATAAATAAGCTATACCGCGATTCTTCACCAGTAGTTTTCCCGCTGCAAAAAATGTTGTAAAAAGCGGAACCCAGCAAATGGTGAAAACAACAGTCACAATCGCCAGTGTAATAGCAATGCGGATCTCCACCCGAAATTGCTGGAAGTTGCTGGAATTCTTGGAAGGATCAGCTCTGATCTGTATTTGTTTTTTTCGATGTTTAACTAGCGACATTACTATCAGTGAGTACGACACAAAGACAGCCATGTAACTTAGGCTGAAAATTCCGAACGCAACGAAACGTTTCGGAAATCTTTTCGGAATAATGGGGTTCAAAATGGGAACCACAATCGGCGATAACCAAGACTTTATAAGCATTGCTTTCAAACCACGATTCTCCATGATGCTTTTGTAGTGCAGAGGGTACAAAATAGCGATAACACGATCAACACTAATAGCCGCAATGTGTTCCACAGAAGCAGCACACGAAAGCATGGATAAGATAATGTATGGGATTTCCAAGCCATTTGCACACTCATTAAAAAAAGTTCTTCGAGTGAGGATTGCCAGAAATAGCGGTTCGCACACCATAGTCACAAGCAAATCAGCAATAGCCAAGCTAAACAGTAGGAAGTTTGCAGGTCTACGAAGACGAGGAGTTGTGGCAACTGCAAAGCAAACCAGTAGGTTGCCAAGTGTTCCTGTTATAATCACAATAGCGTTCACTGAAATAAGAGCTAATCCATGAGATAATGGAAGCGAGCAGTCTCCTACCGAAACGTCAGAAGTTCAAAAGGAGCTGGTATTCTCCTGAGAGTGATTCATCGCTGTGATTTCGAATGAGCAGCTTGATACTCTGTGTGGAAAATGATCAATGACGTACTCGTTTTACATTGCAGCGAATATTGATCTCAAGGAAGCAATATATCAATTTCAAACTTTGCAAATTTGGAATTTTTCAGGATGTTAATTTCTTTTACTATCCGTAGCCATTCGTTCTCTTCCGTGGTTTAATATTGCCTCTTGCATCTTATCAAGGAAATTTCTAATTAAGCTGAGGACAGTTTTGACTCAAAACATTGCTATGGATCTCCCTTAACCATTAGGCCTATATACAATTATCTTTAGACAAACAATACAATATCACCATAGAGAGGTGATAAGAAATAACACTAAAGACTGGCGCTATGGATCCATGAGATTTAAGAGATCACAAACAAGAATATCTATTGTATTCATACAACCTCTCTATTCCATTTTATCGATGTCAAAAGAGAAATTTCATCCTCTTAACTCAAGAATATTATCTAGGTCTTAGCTTTGATATAATGACGTCTTGTGTCCGTTTTCCCGTATCATACAACAATTAAAGCAGTATTGCGTATACGTTGAGGTAACAATAATATCAAGAGCAGTCAGCCGCAAAAACTATATACAATGTAGTGTGGTATTGATCTTGTGACAGTTCTCACGTATGATTCTGCGAAAATACTGCGTTTTCAGTAGCTACTCATTTAGAGAACTGTGCTACCGATGAGATCTAATTAATAAAGACTACGCCATCATTTTTCTTTTACTCCGATTAATAATAGACAAGTTTATTATTCTGAACTCATTTGAGTTTAATGATGATAATGGAGCACGAATGATANTAGATTAAAACTTTTTCATAAGCTTCCATGTTGCTGTTTCTGTCCAGTTTGAAGTTGATATTTCTTTACCTTGAAGTGTACTCTGAAATATCATCTAAAAGCAAAGATTAAACCGACTAAAATAGTTCTTAGGCCAAATAAAATTGTTAAGCAAGGACCATAATGAAACACAACCTACTGTCGCAGAAAACTTTGGCACATCTCGCGAGAAGACTGAATGCGAAAAGAAGTGTCGTGAGCCATGTGAATTCGTGGAGTACAAGACATCTCTTTGCCACATTGGACTTCAGAGGGATACATTCATTGAGCAACTCATATTCTCTTTGAACAACACCGACAAATCTGTTATGGAACTCGAGATGTATAAGCCCTTCTTGAACATGACCAAAGAACAGAGGGAAAAGTTTATCGAGTAAGTGAATAACGATTGGACCAAGTAGATCAAGTATGTTTTAATTGAAGTGATTGACAGCTAAGTATTCTTAACGCAAGCTACGGTAATGATTCGATTTAGCGCTCTCGTTCCAATATATAAGCGCCCCTTTTTAATAAGTACCCCTGTTCTAATAAGTGCGTCTCTTACATAAGCATCCTCATTCCAATAAGCGCATCTTTTCCGTTTTGGTGATAGCTCTATTAGAGTGCATGTACATTGTCATTGATATCAACCCTGGTTCATCTTCCTTTATTAGCTCCATTACAAAAACAGTGGTCTTACTCCGGTTTTTCTTCATTTCTTTCTTTTAAATAAATACTAAAGCTGAAATGGGTGTCCTGTCCCGAATAGGCGCCCTCCTCTGAGTGAGCGCCCTCCCTTTAGGTATAAAAGTAAAAATGCGCCCCGGGCACTAAATTTAATCATACGGTAATAATAACATTCTCTTAGTGAATATTTTGGCGGATAAAACCAGTTAAAGAACTTCATCTTCCAATCAATATTTTACAAGAACAAAAATTCTTGTGGAAAATAAATGATGTTTGCAATGTTTGATCATGTGGTGTGGCCAATTGTAAGAGGGCAGTTCTGAGAGAAACTACCGCTGTTACGGTTTTAATGAAAAAAATTTCATTAAAATTATGAAGGACTTCTTCCTACCGCTCTAACACAAAGTTATCGTATGTTTCCCATGAAATCAAACTAGAAACTGTAATTTGACAAACAAGTTTTTTTTCCCCGCAGCGAAAACATCATTTCAGTGGACATCTATTTTGAAGATCTGAGTGTTGAGATCACTGAGCAAAAACCCGTTTTTGAAACCTGGGCTTTGATTGGTTAGTACTAAAATTATTCGCCGTTTAATTCTAAGAACGCTGAACTTTCCTGCCATTCTTGTCTTGTTTTCATTGTCTCTCAGTTTGCCATGCCCTTGTTAGCGATTTTTGCAGGTTACATGGCCGGTTTGAATTCCGACAACCTACTGCTCAATTGTAAAAAATCATGACCGTGATGACCTTTCCTTTATTCATATCCCCAATTGCCTTAAATATATGATCTAACTGTCGTAGCCAGAATTAAAGAGGCATAATTGGTGAACAGTGGGGCTGTTCTGAGAGAACATCTATCTCCTCCGTCTTTAAGCTTTTTCAAGATAAAAAGTAATGAGTTTTTATTGTAATTAAAGAGCGTCGTATTTCTGCTTATGTTAGTCATACACCCTGGCGCTTTCCATATACCACCGCATTCTTGGAACTTATGATCAATAAAGAAAATATACTTCACTGCAACAGCCACGAAATCCAGTTTACTTTATTTCATAACCCAGACACCATTCTGGTACTAAACTGTTTTTCCTTTGCTCCACCAGGAAACTTAGAAGGTACTTTTGGTCTTTTCCTTGGAATGAGTTTCCTAACTCTCCTAGAGTTTTTCGATTTTGTCTTCAGGAAAATTTTGCACTTGTTCAAAGCAACAAAACACGAGAAAAGTATAGCATCTGATGTAAAGCATTAGATAATAATAATAATAATAATAATAATAATAATAATTATTATTATTATTAGATAAACCACAAGTGGTGCTGTTCGATGTCATACTGACGTTCGCTCTTATGTGCAAGCTGTGTGTCTGAACTCAGCT